TTTTAAAACTCAGTTCTTTTGTTATCTATACATCATATCGGGCCCGAACTTGCCTCCTGGATAACCCACGAAGCTTCCACCCCTTTCCCCCCCTCCCCCCCAGCCCCGGTGTTTAACATACGAGTACTCCCCCAGTATTTTAAAACTCAGTTCTTTTGTTATCTATACATCATATCGGGCCCGAACTTGCCTCCTGGATAACCCACGAAGCTTCCACCCCTTTCCCCCCCTCCCCCCCAGCCCCGGTGTTTAACATACGAGTACTCCCCCAGTATTTTAAAACTCAGTTCTTTTGTTATCTATAGATTGATATCGGACCCGAACTCGCCTCCCGGATAATCCACAAAGCTCAAGTGTTCTCGTCAGGAAAGAAAATCCCAAGGGAACAGAAGGACCCGGGACTCTTTGAGGAAGCACAGAGTATTCTCTTCAAAGAGATGCTTCCTTATTGGGCGGGATTCTGCAAACAGTACACTCAACCTGCAGACGAGGGAAAAGTGAAACTACCACGTAAGTACTCGTAATCCCACTGGAATAGGCCTTTTGCAACAGGTGGTCACGTGACGTGCTTTCCAAGAACGCATTAGTCATTGGTAATGCATAATGTTATCAGAGATAGAACGAACATTTACAAATAAGCTTACATGCAAATTTGCAGGTTTATATCCTTAAAGAGCGAAATTTCATGGATATTAGAAATTAGAACGATATGTAAGGGAGAGGGTCCCCAATAGGTTTGGCGGGATGCGGGATGCGGGATTTGGCTTTTTTTCGCCGTGATATTTGGGATTTGAGCTGAAAACAGCGCGGGGGGAAGCGGGAATTACAGTTAGGAGCGGGAGCGGGATTTCGTGTTTTTATATGGTTGGGATGCGGGATTCATAAGGAGAACAGAGCGGGATACGAGATTTCAATTCTTACATGACCTTATAAATTGTCATTGACCAGCGCAAAAACCGGCAGAAACGCGCGTATGGTTGTGTCGGGTTTCAAGTAATAGATAATGAATAGCAACAGCTCTGTATCCTGTCAGGTTCTGTCAAACGTATCCATTATCGCTTGACTACGTTAGCATCATGAGACTG